AGCCTTGCCCAAGGATTTCAGTCACTTTCTGACTTTGTTGAACACCTCTCCACCTCCGTGGACATAGTTCTTCCTGTATTGTCGTATAAATCCTACGGTATTTCCAATTTCTCTCCCTCTCTCTCTCTATGCATTGTGGTCCTGGTTAAACATCCTAATGTGTTTCAGTTTTTTGTTGTATCTGTTTCTTCTATATTCTTCATGGGTCAGTACCTGTTTCTCAGGCAGAATTCTTTTCCCCATTTATATTGCTAGCTTTCCAGAAATTCAAAATATCATTGCGACTTTTATTTTCTCCCTAGTCCTTTCATGTTACATACTCGTAAAATGTTACTTCTGGTGTTAGTTTTACTGCGATTGCTGTGCATTTGTTATCTTCTTTCTGCTGTAGTATATGATGTGAAATATCATATTTTTGACTGCTTCAGTAACTGGAATGATTTGCTCTTGTTGATTGCTTTACTTCAAACTAAGATCTGTTGAGATCCTATGAACCTACATTAATGAGCCTGTCCTTGAGAAATCTTGGGGCTCTAAAGATCTGTTTCTTTAGCTATGGATTAGGCACATGATTTCATATCCACCCTCTGTAAATCCAGTTCGAATGGATGAAGATTTAATTTGTTATATAAATGCGTGAATGTATTTGCCTTAGCTGAGTAAAAATTTCTAACCATGTTTAGTAGAAACAGAAATATTTATGTTTTCTAGTTACCATTATTCCAAAACCCTAGCCTTTTATATCTTCCTTATTGAACCATTTCATCTAAAAGCTTAAGTTGTTAGATGGGAACATTTATTTATTCAAATTCTGTTTTCAACATGCTTTGTCATCTGCAAGAGGAATTCCTTTTTTCATGAAATGCTTGACATATGCACAACTTAATGGGTGCTGGCAAGACTTGGACTCAGATGCTTCACCTGAGACAACATATTGAACCACTTCACCTAAAACTTTATGCTGAGACAATAGTTCAACATCCTTGCACTCAACATATCATTTCCAAATACATCTTTTCTTTTCTTCACTTTTATCGCTTGGTGACATTTAGAAAATGGCTTTCAGGGAAGTGAATTGGATGAAACTGTGCTATCAATGTGGTTTAGTAGAAATAATCTGGACACTGAAGTAGGAAAAGTGGTGGTAAGACTAATTTCTTGTCCTAAAGAGTTCAGAATCACTGATGAACTTGATATCACTCTAGGCTTGTTTGACAGTTTTCATAAATAAAATGGCAGTTAATGCCAACAAGAGCAGGATCTAGTATTGGAGTTTCAGTTCCTTATGGTGTTTCAGAGATATTTTTTTCTAACTCTTCCATTAGGTAGAGAACTCATTTTCTTAATTGTACAAATAAATCATTTCTCTGTCCATATTGTACTCGACCATTGAAACTAATTAAGTTAAAGAAGGCACAGTTATTACAATAACATGGACAAAAGTGATAAAAAAGTTGAAATAATAATTGAGCGCTTACGGGTGGAAACCTCTCGAAAAGGTTCCTTCTGGTTAAAATCTATGAAATTATCCTGTTAATCCTGAATTGCAATTGTGTGGTCTGGTAGATTTATCCCATCAACCAATGCTATTCATGGTTTTAGCAGGGAATTGATCAGTGGCGGATGTAGATATTTGGAATTAGGGGGGCAAAAACAAATTTGTAAAAAAGCTATGAAAAATATAAAAGCGTTCGATATTTTATTACAATTGTTCTCTACGCATTTTCATTATTTGATAACGTTCCATAATTGATACAAACAATCAATTCAAACAAGATAACGCAAGAAAATGTAAATTGACGATTAAAGAATTTGTCCATAACGGATACAAACAATCAATTAAATCAATCAATTCAAGTAATCGGAAGGAAAAACATACAATCAATATTCAATCCTAATAATCAATTCAAATAAACACATTCAATAAGTGAAAGCTAAAATAGACAGAATCATTCCGACCTATTTTATATACACAATTCAAAAATTATTTCGAACTCATTCCAAATCAACTTGACACAATTCAATATACAAAATTCAAAAATCATTCATGAACACAAATCGGACCGAATGAAAACAAGCTGTACATGTAATCCAAACTTATTTTCTACATCATTTTGAATTTTGGTCAAAGAAAATAAAATTTTGAAATTATAAGTTACTGTCGTTAGCTTACAGGTTACATTTTAATTTTCAAGGCAAAATAACTTAAATTGACTGAGTTTGGAGGTCCGACGAGTGGAGGTGGCGTCGAAATTGCAGGGGCAGACGAGGCCAACATTGGCATAATGACAACCACTTTGCAGCAGTTTTAGAGCAAATTAGTAGCAAAAAACACAAATTTAGGTTCTAATTTGTTGGAAATTTGATTGGGAAATGAAGATTTGTAGCAGATGTGATAATTTGTGGAGAAATTATAGATAAATTTGAAGAATTAGAAGGGTTAGAATTTTGGTAAGAGGGGTGAGGATGAGAGTCGCTCGAGAGAGTGAGAAAAGGATCACATAAGTTATGATTTTGTAAAAAAATAAAAAATAAATTTGACCAAAAGTTGGGGGGCACGTGACCTCTCATGCCCCAATGTGTGTTTGCCAGTGGAATTGGTGATAAAGTCCTCATTGAATTTTTTCTTGGAGGGAGTCAATTTTACAGCCATAGTTCTGGACGTGGGTTCTCGTTCTGATTGCCAACCGAGGTATAAACCATTTTAAACTGGTGCCATTCCTTATGAGATGTTGTTTAGTTGCTACAAATGTATTATGATTGGCTAATTGTCTAATTTGAATGAGAATATAGCAGCCCCTGTATTTTATCTCAGATTCAATTACCGATACGTTCTTGTTATTGTTTATAAATAATATACATGTTGTATACAGCTCCTTATCTTAAGCTCTGCTATAAATAATATTATTACATGGTGTTTACATTCGTGTGTTATTTTCATTCATGTAGTAAAGGTTATTTTTGTTCTCTAAAATCATTCTTTGAATGAGTCAATTACAAGTCGTGCTGATGTGATATGTGTGATACTCTTGATTTGAGATGGATGCAGGTAAAAAGATAGTTGGATAAGAGATGGATAGTCCATAGTGATATGATTAAGCCACTTGTCTTAGAAAGCCAACTGTTAATGCAAGTCATTAAGCTGGCAAGTTTACACTAAAGCGTTCTAAAATGTAACCTTGTGAAATAAGATAATAGTTTTCTTCTTAATTCTATCCAAATCCCTGTATTAACTCGAGTCAGTGTTACATTGAGTTGAATCGAATTTTCAAGTTTCAAAAGCTTTGATGTACATATATGCTTTGAAGGTATTAATAAAATTGATGAATTGATTTCTGTTTGAGATCAAATAGATTTCTAATTCCATCTCACATCTCATATTAGCTGCATGTACTGAACTTTTCTGGGTCAATCACCACATACTTTTGTTGTCCCTACTAGATGGAACTTCAATCAATCAATCTCATGGCAGTGTTGATCTAAGTGAAAAGGGCGCTATATGCAATTATATGCGGAAATATCTCGCAACGCAGCAGGTATAAAAAGTATATGAATTTATATTCTGGAAGTTTTTTGTCTGTCCCATCTGCATACATTTTATGTTATCAGGATTATTGGATAACTTTTTGGATTTTTAACGTATCCAAATGATGCATCTCTCGTGTGTTATGGCTTTCCTGGAATAACACGAATTTATATTCTGGAAGTATTTTGTCTGTCCCATCTGCATACATTTTATGTTATCGGGATTATTGGATAACTTTTTGGATTTTTAACGTATCCATATGATGCATCTCTTGTGTGTTATGGCTTTCCTGGAATAACACGCAAGTGGATAAATGTTTTTTTTTTTCCCCGTAAAGAATTCCATTTTGTTGGACTGGATTCTATTTCTGGGACAAAAATTACATGAAAATGGAAAATTGTAGTGGGTCTGAAGTAGCAATTGGATTTTCTTTTATGTATCTATTCCCTAGGGTATGTTCCACTTTTCTTTTAAACAGTTCATGTCTGATCCATTTCAGTACCCAAACCTGGCAGATAGTAGGATACTGGAATGCTTATTGTGGTGGGATCACATTTGAACCGGAAAGTAAATTTAACGACTCTACTAAATTAATTCAGTTTAAATGACCATGAAAACTTTGCAGTTACTTGCATTTCCCCACCCCACTCCTCTGTCCTCCCCAGCGAGTTACTCTTGTTTCTGGTATTATAGTACACTGTAGTTGACATCTTGATCTGCTATGATTTATTCCAGTATTTTGACTCTGAAATAGTTTTTATATTTGGCCACTCAATATCTTGAATGAGTTTAAATTCGCAAAAAAAAGTGAATAAATAAAATATGTATTATAGCTGCCACCTGATTTTTAGTCTATTCATAATTTCAATGGGAAAGAAAGAGAGAAACAGACAAAATTACAAATATCAGGTTCTCCACTATTCCAATTTGGAATATGAACACGAGAGGAACAATTTCAACCTATAGTCACATGTTTTATGTTATGAGAGTACTTTCAACCTTAATTTTCCAATTCGTTTTTTTTAACTATTTGTTTCACTGGTATGAACAAACTGGCAATGCTTTTCAACATCATGGCATTCATTGTGAGATTTAAATTCGGAATTTCTTGGTAAAAGAAACGGAATTTGCTGATAAAATTTTAAATTTCTAATCTCAGTTTTATGCTACAGGAACACCCATGTACATATATGCATATACGTACAGGTTTATAGAGGTAGACTATGAATCATACATCATCATTTTCATGATATCTTCATATACAGGTCGGATTTTCACATTCTAATATCCTTCTGACCATAATCCGACGTGCTTGCTCGTGGTTTCCAAATCTTTTGGAATAAAATATTGTGTCTAGTTCCTCGTTTAGAAGATAAAAATCTTCCCAAGTTAATGAAGCTTTTCCAAAACATCAAGACGTCCGGAAGATCTTTGTTATTTTTGGTGGAGATACTTCATTACAGAAAGTATCACTATGAGTGGAACTAATGTCTGGCTGAACCTGAATGCAATTGATGATGTAAGCGTTCATGTTCTGTGAATTAATTATGTGGTGCTTTAGGAACTGTAACATTTTCTTGGATGTTGATATTACTTTTACGCTTTCAAGTCTCAGCAGCCCACCTCAGATTCTCCTGATGCAACTTCTTTTTTCATACTTTATGCTTAGCATTAAATTACCTTCTGATTAACATTTTAGCCTCATGAGTTGATGTGGTTGCCTCTTGGCTTTGTTCGTTACAGCTTAATGTAATACCGTGTTTGCTTGCCTCTACAAATCGTATTCATCCCATCTGCATTCTGACAAGACAGAATCAGGAGCGAGCTCCAGGATTGTTTGGTCACTACCGGAAGTATAAATCATATCATGCTTACTTACCATTTAGCTCAAATATTCTGTGCTCCGCTCCCCATCGCACTCTGTTCAATGCCAAATTTGTTGAAATGTTTTAGGCATTGGAAATAATTTGTGCTATAAAATATAAGTAGTTTTTCCAAGCTCTAAAATATTTATTTTTGTGTTAGTCAGTATGTCGTCATGTAACTATCTATTTGCAGACAAATATTGAAGTATCAGTGTCCAATTTTCACTTCATTTGGTATCTTTCCTGATAACTTATGTAGGCTCATGGAATGATTGAGATGCCAATCCCACCTCCAGAACTCTTAATCTTCGAACCTTTTATTGAAAATGACGACATAGTTGTTTCATCACAATCAAGTGGCAAAAATTATGCATAATTTTCTATGGAAAGGGCATAGCAGATGGGTAGAAATAACAGTTGGTGTTGTAGGAAAACGTGGTTCAATGCATTCATTGACACCTAGCATCACTGTGAAAGGAACTGGAGATATATTGTCACTCGAGGAGAAATTTCATGGTATGTAAAACAAATTAATAACTATATAGTTGAAGTCATAATTTATGAATTACTGGTAGATTCTCCATAATTCAACAAATAAATAAATTATAGCTAGGGCCTTACAAGATGATGCCTTTTGCGTGAAAATGTCTTATATCTAACATGGTTAATACTGGAAGGTGGAACTGGCATCAATTTGACTCCACCACCCCTCTCTTTAATAAGGTTGTGTGAACAAAGACTCACAAAAGGATTTTAGAGGAAAATCTTCTGGTAAATCATCAGGGAAAAAACCTGTTTGTTATAAATATGGCAGAATAGGCCACTGTGCTAATAAATGCATGACTAAACAGAGAATTAATGAATTAGTTGTTGATGAAGGCTTCAAGAAACAACTTTTTAAGTATTTTTATTAAAGTGAGTGAATCTGATTTTGATGTTAACCAGATCTATGAATCTGATTCGTCTAGTGAAACTACTTCTGATGAGCGATCTTGTAAAAATCAAGAAAGACCCTTATAAGGCTATCATGAAAATGATGATCTTGAATGTAATGTGCTTAGTAAGTCTGATAATTTGTTTCTAGATATACTTGATCAAATTGATTATTCATCTTTGAAAAGAAAGATTATTAGTCAATTTGTTGATAATCTAAAAATAATAATGAAGAAAAAATATAATCATAAAAAGTTTGAAAAACTTGATCAGAAAATTTTGAATTATGAAACATCATATAGTCAAGCCTTCATCATGCAACTGCTTGCGCCATCATGTGACAAGGTTCTTCCAGTCATGTTTGTTCGTTCTTTTATTTTTTATTTTTTTTCCCTCATGCTTATATTCTGTTCCTTAAATTAGTGATGGTGCCTTGGAGAAATGTAAACAGCGGATTGAATTAATAGCAAACACCATTACAGTTGGAAGGATTTTCGCGTATTGATGCATTCGTTAAGGTTGACAATGGCGAGGTATGTCAGGCTAAACTCTTATCAGTTGATACATTGTCCTTTGTGACACGACAAACATGGGAATGTATTGAAGTCTTTTTCTTATTTATTTTGTTTATAATAATTTTAGGTAGCTTTTGTCAGTGACAAATTAGAATTTTTGGCTGTAGAGAAAATTCTATAATGATACACATATAAGATGGTATATCGCGTGCTTTTATGTTGTTTAAAGGGTTACATTGCAATCTTCTGGTGAATTTCGGAAGTTGTCTTCTTCCTGTGTTGCGTTTAGAATCAGAGGGGAAGTGATTTTATTTAAGCTGAATGCTTTAAGTGGATAGAGCAAATAGTATTATTGGGAAACCATATCTTGTGATTTGAAACTTATATGAAGTCTCGTTTTGATCCAGTTGTGTGAATTATACAATTATAACTATTGATGATACCATTACAGGCGTTAATCATCGAAGTAAATACCGTTCCTGGGATGACACCTTTCACTGTTCTAATTCATCAGGTACCTGTTGATATGTTTGTATATTTAATTTGAGGTGCTCACTCAGTAGCATATAAATCAACTTAGAAAAGCAAAAAATCTGCAACATATATTTGGATGTTTTTAGAGAAAACTAATGTCGATTTTCTAACTAGAACTTTGAAATATCACTAACCATATAGATATTTTCTTTGCACAGGCACTGGAAGAGAAACCTCCATGTATCCTCAACTGTTCTGTCGTACACTGCTTGAGTTGGCCTCAGAGAGGTCTGTGTAAATTCTTGTGTTATTTATATTCGTTATTTCATTTCGAATGTTGTGTTATAACTGTGTTATAAACTTTTTCCAATAAAAAAATTTACTCTTTCACGAATTTTATTTAGTTTTGTCTCTTTATAGTTCTATAAAAATGACTATACATATCAACTATAGAGGGCAAAGAATCCCTGAAATATGTCTTCATTGCTTAGTTTCTGGCAGTAAATGGAAATTTTGGGTTTTATGGCTTTAGTTGTGTCTTGCTGATAATGGCATTGTTGGCACCAGAAGAGCCATTTTTTTTTGAGGTTGTGAGATTTCTAGGCCTCACAACTAATTGCTTGGTCATAGAAATGGGACACGGATGGTATGTGTGGCGCCCTTGGGTACCCCACACCAAGTGTAGGGGTCTAGGCCAGTCTTCCACCCACATGGTCGGCAAGCTCGCCATAAGCACACACATGGGATACAACGAAAATTATGATATCGTTATTAGAGCATGTTTGGTAGTACCAGCCACACACAGAGCTTATGGCAATCCTATGGAGCCTATGAAAATGGTCGGTTCGCTAGGTCCATGACTAGTAGCCTTCAAATCTCAAGCTGTGATTCAATAATCAAGTATGATAATTCATAGTGGATAAGCATTTGACAGAGTTGTAGCTACCAATTAAAAATGGATTCTACAATTATGTAGTCCATTCTTGAATAGGTTCAATCAGTACAATGAACAGTCATCCCGAAGAGTCAATTTCTTCATGTTACCATCAGAATGATAAGCAATACACCTGTAGATTGAGACATTCTAACCATTGCAGTTAATAGTTACATCTTGTGACCAGTAATGCCTTGTAATAATGCTGAATCTGTCAAGATTTTGTATGTCAAATTTCCTAGAACTTATGATGGTACACGTGAAGATGATTGTCTGTCATTTATATATTGTGTTCAATCCATGTCGGTATAGACCTCTAAACTCAGCTTTTTATTTCTCTTTAAGAGAATTCCATTCCTCTGGTTTGACTTTATAAATTATGTTCAAGTCGTCTAGATGAAGCTCGGTAGGATAATGCACATATTCACTGCATAGGTTATATCGATAAATAAATTAGCTTCCCGATCGAGTGTTGATATCTCCCACGATTATGGCTTCTAAAAGTTTATGATTCAATTCTATAGGGATATCGACAAGTTTATTGCTAGGCATCCTGAGTGTCACTTGAAGCGTTTTTGTAGGTTTAATCTGACTAGGAAGGCACAATGTGATAAGGATCATGTTATCAAAGGAAACAGACTTGGGTAATGGGTATTGTGTACATTTCATTTTACCATGTTGTCTTAGTATTGGTCACAAATTTATTTTTGAGGTTAGGCACTCCATTCATTTTAATTCCATTAGCGTATTATACTAGGGAAACCAATAGAATGGAATGGACCCATAGAAAGGACCAACATCACTCGACTTTTTCCCATAATTTTTTTTTTTTTTTGAAAGGTAATCAATAATTTTATTAATCAATGCATAATATACAGGAAGTGTATTATCAAGTTAAATCAGAAAGTAACAACATGAAATTAGGCAGCCCGTCTATATGCCTAATAGCCACAGTATTAAATTAAGTATACAATGTCAAATAAAACAATTTCCTAATTTGCTCTGTTGTCCGTGATTGATCTTCAAAACGGCGACTGTTTCTTGCTCTCCACACACACCAGACAATGCAATCCGGAATAAGGTCCCAAATAAGTTTGTTATCCTTATCTCGAAACTTTCTGTTACATGTCTTTAACATCCATAATTTTAAGGTCTTAAGAATTGAGGAATTGATGTCCGAATATCATATAGTAACATTTAAATCAATTGATATCATTACTTGACATCTTTTATAAATCAGAAATCTTCATCGCAAATTCTCTGACTGAGAATCTTTTGTATGCATTCGAGTTAAATCATGTATGTTGACCTAGAAACGATGAGAAGACCCAATAGTTTAATCAATCTTATCTTTTCACGAATTTGATAGGCACGTGAAATTTTATTTTCACGAGTCCTTGAATATACTAATTGGAGAAGATGGGTGAAATTTTACATGAGCATGTTCATGTAGATCAACTTGGATTAACACTACATGCCACCAATCTACGGCCAGGATCGACGTCAAATGGCGAGCATCAACCCCGGCAAAGAGCGTTTTGTAAGATCTCGAGGGTGGCTCTGCCACAAAGTGGTGGAGCTTGAAAACACAAAAGGCCTCAAATCCTTAACAGTGAGCCATGTATTGAAATATTCTCTAAACTGAGTGATTATGCCATCTTTTAGGGTCCAAACATGAACCCAGTACACCTGAGCCCCTTCCCAGCCCTCCACTATCACACATTCATCAATGGCGTCGATGCTTCGAGGCTCGAATTTGAATGCGGTGGTGGAGCATTTTCCGGTGAGCATTTTCATCATGTGGTGGCAGTTTTGAGGGCCGTGGAACCACCACTCTAGGTCTGTGGCTATGAGGCCAGCCACTGTGGCGGTGTCGCCACTTGATAATCCTTTGTAAAGGGTGTTTACAATGGCCTTGTTCTTGTTCTCCGGTAGCGGCGCCGCCTCTGAATCAACACTTGAGATTTCCATTGTGTAGTTTGGGAGTATAGGGAAAAGGAGTAATTGGATCTTGCATGGTGTGGCCAAGTGGAAAAGCTCTTTTATATAGGAAACTTTATAGAGGAATGGGACCCAACAAGAAATGATGACAAATTATAGACTTAAAATTATTAAGTGCATGTTTGTCTATCATTATTGTGATGAAAATAGTGTAATGAATAGTATTTTTTGGAGAATGTATGGTTAAAATTGAAAGAAACTTTATCGGTTTGTGTATAATATTTTATTATTTGAATGTGTGGTGGAGATTGATTACTGTAGAAAACAATGTTTTGAAAAATGGTAGACAAACAGGGGCTAAACTTTTTAGATAAACTTACAAACTAAGACGATTTAGTTTGCACCGGTACCAGATAATTACAAAACAACATAGTTCAATCTTCATACGTAAAAACTTACGAAGTTTTTAATCAGCTTATAAGTTGTGTATGTCTCATTATCACTTCTTAATTATAATCTGCTATCAACAACAATGTCATTTTCTGCTTAAATTTTTTAATTACTTCCCTGTTTTGTCTGAGAATTATTCCACTTTGATCCTTACTCTTCTTGCTTCATAATATTATCGTGACATGTTCGACCTACTAAATNGTAATGATAGAATATCGTTGATGTGACAATTTAAATGAAAAATGGGATAGGACAATTCAATCCCCATCAAACTCAAGAAAATTGAATTGTCATATCTCATTATTTCACCTAATTTGTCATATTGATAGGCGTATTTTATACACTTATTTAGACCATTAAATTAGAATATTTGGTAGTGATTTGGATTAGTTATAGCTTAATTTTGTGTTAATTATGTTTGTTCGCTAGAACTCAATGCAAATTGGTAGATTTGAAAACAAATGGATGAAAAACTTGCGAAAATGAAGGAAATTCAAAATTTGGGGACCAAAGTGTAAAAATTCAATTGTTGATTCCGATCACAAAATGATGATTGAAGATCATATATGAACAATTGGATGCAATTGGAGGTCAAAGGAGTGAAATATAGTGGAAGTATTTTCACAAATCAATTTCCAGCCGAAGAAGTTATACTCCGAATTTTTAGCCTCAACTTGAGACCCATTTTGTGGATAACAAACGCTCGTATTGGAAAAATTGTATTTCTAGAAGAATTGTAGCCTTTTGAATTATATTTCTAACTCATCTTTAATCACCTCAATCGGATATTTTTATAGAAAGTTATGGTCAAATTACTGAAAGCTGCTCATGGACGAATCGAAGCGAACCTGCACGCGCGGACAATTCATGGCATGCACTCGGTATCCTATTTCTCCCAACCCAAGAGCCATTTGGCCCAATGGCGCACGCACAGTGGTTATGCCTATGCACATCGCATGCCATTTTTGCAGATGAATCAACAATTTCCTTTCGCAATTCAAACTCTTTTGGAACCAAATTGAACACGATTTTGACTTATTTTCTGGCTCTTATAAATAGAGAACGAGGGCTACACATTGAAAAAACTTCTCTTGCCTCTTCATACACAATAGTATCATCAAATTCATCAAGAAAAAGTGGTCAATTACTATATTTTGAGAAGATATCAAGCCCTAACAAGAAATTAAAAGTCAATTATATCAAAATTTTGAAGAATTCAACATTGGGCTTGAAGATCGACATCTTTTAATTTATTTCATGATCCAAGTGATATTTTTCTATTATTCTTTTTATAATTTATATATTAACGTGCTAGGATAGATCCGTTTTTGTATTAGATGAAGATGAACCGTATTATTTATTTATTTTTAATTCAAGATTAGTAATTTAATTTATTTCTTGCGTTTCTTGATTAATTTTGCATACGCATTGCATTATTTAATTGATTGGTCACAAAATAGATAATTAGTTACTTATTGTAGTGTTGGGAGACTCACAATAAGTTTAGAACGCGATAAAATTCACATATGTGCAATAGATGTTAGAAATAACATTTATCAAGTGTGCAATCATATAGATAATTTAAATTTTAATGAATTCTAATCATTCGAATTCGGGTTAGGAATAGATTCGGGTCGTGGTTATGATATATTTAATTTGTCTTGGAAAAAAAAATTATATATCATAATTTTATTGATTGTCATGAACGCATGAATGAAATTAAATTACAAATAAAAAAATTATATATCATAATTTTATCAATTTTCAAAAACGCATGAACTGAAATTAAATTACAAATCAAGAATTGAAATAAATAACAATAGGCGGATTCGAAATTCAATATAATCATCCATAAATTGATAAAAATCATATTTTTACCGGTTTCTTAAATTAATTTAATATAAAACAAAATCAAACTCTCTTTTGTTTAAATAATTTGAATCTCATAAAAAGTTAGTGAATTTGAATTGAATTTATTCCCTGTGGACGATACTCTCAACTCATCAATTTTATTACTCGTCAACGATCACGTACGCCTGTGAGTTTCGAATCATTATTATAATGATAAATAATATTACTCTTTTCGAAATATTGTTTTTTTTAATTTTTTGGCGACTGTTTAGCATATATGTAAGTGCGCAATCTTATGGGATAACTCGTCACTTAAAATAACAATTATTTTGAAATAAATAACTGGTAACACCATCTTAGTTTTGACATTTATAAATCTTCTTTAGGCATTGTAAATAATATTCATTGGCACATGTAAAATTACTATAGTTTTGTCTCAAAAAAACCCATTTTTTCTCCATTTTGATGATAGGTAATAATCATATTGTTAAAATAAATGCCATTAACAACAGTCGAGTTGGCGGACCTAGGGGGGTCCTATCAACTTTTGAGATTTTTTTTAAAGTCATGTTTGGTATCGATTGAAATCTAAATTTTAATCTAAATCAAAATTAGCAATTAATTTTAATAATATATTTCATGGAATTCATAACTGTTTAATTTTTATCAAAATTTACTAAAAATTTGATTTTAATCTTCATCAAATAGGGGCAAAATCACAATAAATTTTAATTTCGATAACATGATAATTTTAAAAATTCTCCGACGATCGTACGCTCATCGAATTTACAAATTGCTTATATCATCTCAAAACTTATTTCGAGAACTACATTATGGGCATATCGAATAGTCCAAACATATATCGAAAATAGTTAAAAATACGTTAAACGTGTCTTAAAGAAAGACGTCTAACTCGCATTTTTTTTAAAAAAAATCAATTATTTCATTAACATTTATTATTTTTGCGATACAAATTTCTCAATATAATTTTCATCATTTTATTAGGAAATTTTCAAAAAAATTTAAAATTTTATATCCGAAAAAGTCATAT